TGATATAATTAAATCCAAACCAAATTGTGCCGTGCTCGAACAACTGGTGTATTAGCCGAAATGGAGTCCGATAAAGCGGAATCCAGGGCTGCCAGTATTCTGGCTGGTCTTGGTTTCTCACCTGAAAGACAGCAGTTTGCCACCAAGACATTCTCTGGTGGTTGGCGTATGCGTCTGGCTCTTGCTAGAGCTCTTTTCTGCGAGCCTGATCTTTTGCTTCTCGACGAACCGTCCAACATGTTGGACGTTCCGTCTATCACCTTCCTTTCCAACTACCTTCAAGGCTACCCCAGCACCGTTCTTGTCGTATCTCACGACAGAGCCTTCCTCAACGAGGTGGCAACCGACATCATTCATCAACACTCCATGCGTCTCGACTACTACCGTGGTGCCAACTTCGAGTCCTTCTATGCCACCAAGGAGGAGCGGAGAAAGGTGGCCAAGAGAGAGTACGAGAACCAGATGGCACAGCGTGCCCATCTCCAAGCCTTCATTGACAAGTTCCGTTACAATGCCGCCAAGTCATCGGAAGCTCAATCCCGTATCAAGAAATTGGAGAAGATGCCTGTTCTCGAGCCTCCTGAGGCTGAGTACAGCGTGCACTTCAAGTTCCCAGATGTCGAAAAGATGACCCCACCAATCGTCCAAATGTCCGAGGTCACCTTTGGCTACACACCAGACAAGATTCTTCTCAGAAATGTTGATTTGGATGTTCAGCTCGACTCCAGAATTGGTATTGTTGGACCCAACGGTGCTGGTAAGACAACAATTCTCAAGCTTCTCATCGGAAAGCTACAGCCCACATCCGGCACCATCACTCAGAACCCTCGTCTTCGTATTGGCTTCTTTGCCCAGCATCACGTTGATGCTCTTGATCTCAATGCCAGTGCCGTCACCTTCATGGCCAAGACCTACCCTGGCAGGACGGATGAAGAGTACCGTCGCCAGCTGGGTGCCTTTGGCATCACTGGCACAACTGGTCTGCAAAAGATGGAACTTCTTTCTGGTGGTCAAAAGTCTCGTGTTGCTTTTGCTTGTTTGGCGCTTACCAACCCTCACATCCTGGTTCTGGATGAACCTTCCAATCACTTGGATATTGAGGCCATGGATGCCTTGTCCGAGGCTCTACAGCAGTTCCAGGGCGGTGTGCTGATGGTTTCTCACGACGTTACGATGTTGCAGACAGTGTGCACGTCGTTGTGGGTGTGTGATAATGGCACGGTGGAGAAGTTCCCTGGTGATGTCCAGGCTTACAAGAAGAGGATTACTGCACAGGCCGATGCAGCTGGTGTTGCGAAGCAGCTCCTTTAAGTTTGATTATATAGCATAAATGATATGAACATCAGAAGTATTTTTTGAAGCATTGTGTGCCTTATATCAGGCAGTTTGTTTGATACGGATAATGATGAATGATATTGAGATGGGTGAATAATTATGAGGTCCAATCATTTGCCATGTTGCTCTCGGGCGAAAGAACTGAGTCGTTCCTGGCCGGGACATCTTCCGCTACTCAACTTGTGATACGGATTATAAAGGTCATATCCATGCATGACGGTGAATTCCTATCCACATAGCCAGCATCTGATATCAATAATAACATATCCCTCAAAACCAGTCTGGTGATGTGTTGTCAAAGGTGTTCTCAAAGGCTTGGTGTGTGAGGTTAGTTTGGGCCAAACGCGACTAGCGCGTCGTGGTTCCCCCTCCCGAATCTGGCGAATGAGAGTAAACAATGGACCACGCAGGGACCACCCGGCAGCTGGGACTTTCCCCGATTCTTCGTTCCATTGGTGGTGCCTGATCCCCACTTGGCAGCAGTGGCAGCAGTGGCAGCAGTGGCAGCAGCGGTGAACAGTCGCCGCCTTTCATTTCCTTGCCCCCAAAAATCAACAAATCTCTCCTTTCCCCTACCAAAATCTCCACCCGCTGCTTTTCAGACCCGACGACGCCTGTTGTCCACCTTCGACCTTCTTCACTTTCTTATCGCCAAAGTTCGTAAACCACCATCCCAGTAAAACCGCCCAAATGGCGTGGAAATG